AATGTAAAGGAGCACTGGACAAGAGTAAAAAAGTTTAGCTTCTTATCAAATTCTTGTAGTTATTCAAATATTTTAATTTATGGCATAGTGATTATAAACCTAAAAAGAGTTGGTCATTTGTGGGGGGCTTACCCATTATATGCTAGGCATGGTTGTAGGTACTATGGATACAACAGAAAGCCAAGAAGCTCTTGTGAATCTTCTACACAGTTTATTGGGGGAATGGCTGGCTATGAGAAAATACACAAGGTGTTACATGGTGACAAATGGTTTGGAGAAATTAGGGGAGTGTAAGGAGGTGGAGAAAATGTTGTGCATAGGGACTTGTTTTTCCTATTTCCAAGACTTGCATGCAGTGTAAGAAGGCACTCTGTTGAGGTATCAAAATAGCTCTTCCTCTTCTTTATGAGCCAGGAGACACTGTGACTAGAGAAATGCCAAGACCTTACCTCCTCCGCTACCCTAGCTCAATTCATATGCTCACAGATATGTCTTTGCTTTGCCTGATGTTCCAACTTGCTGATCAATGACTTCTTTCAAGACAACTCTAGTGGTGTTACAAATACATTTAAGGTGACAAGTAAGATCTGCAGACTCTGCACATTCCCTGAAGTTCAGAGAAGTGCTGACATGCTGTAAGAAGAAAACAAATTGCATAAGCTTCCTAGCTGAATGAAGTAGGAAAAGTTTTGCTTTTGTTTTGGTTTCTTTTGGGCTATATATATTGAGATAAGAATAAGGGCATGTTCTGGACAATTCTTATGTCTGTATTTTTACACTTGTCTCCCTGTGTTTGTAAGGAAGTGAGTTGCATCATCTGCAGAACAGAAATGACTGATTTGTTTATCTCAAAGAAGACCACTAAAGCTAAAGCTGAGCACCTTAGGAACCATAGGAGAAAGAGTTTACATTAGATGAAAGTGAAGCCTTCATTGGCCTATGAGCTAGACTGGTGATACAGAATATCACAATGACCAAAACCATCATGTAGATATCAACAGAGAGGTTCTCAAGTAGACAGGTACTCTTTTATCATTTCTGTCAGCATTCTTTTGCTTGATTGGTTCAAAGTGAGACGGATTAGAGAATGGTATTGAAAGGTGAGCTGTCTTTACTTGACCACAGGGTGTATTGCCTGGGAGTCCTGTGTAGGGACAGCTCTGCCAAATGAAAATGTAGGAAAGCTGAAATTCTTATGGCAGTAAGCTTGCCATCACGGATTACACTAACATCTTGCAATAATGGGCATACATTGTTCCTTTACCTTGGCCCCCAGGTAACTGCTAAATATTTGAAGCTATGTTAATTTTTTGACCTTTTAGTCATTGCTTTATACAAAAGCATGAATCAAGCTGGGCACTGGTGACTCATGCCCATAACCCTGCTACTTGGGCGACTGGGAGATTGGGAGGTTCACAGTTTCAGGCCAGACAAAAAAAGTTGGTGAGACCCCATCTCAACTAATAGTTGGGCACTGTGATGTATACCACTGTGATGTCGTCCAGAGGTACATGGGAGGCTGAGATCAGGAGGATCTTGGTTTTTGGTCAGCCCAGGCAAAAAAGTTTTTGAGACCTCACCTCAACAGAGAAAAGATGGATATGTTGGCGTGTATCTATCATTCCAGTGACAATGGGAAGCCTAAAATATGAGAATTGTGGTCCAGGCCCACTTGGGGCAACAGTGATACCCTATCTCCCAAATAATCAGAGCAAAAAAGGGCTGGAGGCACGGCTCAAGTAGAAGAGCACCCGCCTTGCAAGCAAGAAGCCCTGAGTTCAAACCCCAGTACTACCAAACAACCACAAAACCCGCATGAATCATCAATAAATATTTATGCATTTCAAGATGTCTTCATTATATTAAGGAGAAATCCTGCCTCAAAGAAACTTAGATCTCTTGAAACTGAATAATTAACATTTGTAGTCTTTTGAAATCTGCCACATTAAACAGAAAAACTAAAGAGAAAAGAAAAAATCAGGGCAAGATTTCATAGGGAGACTCAATCTGAGTCTCAGGTTCTAATGTAGAAGTACTCCACACCACTTTGGTTTATGTTTAAATAGAGCTTGAAAATAGGAAGAGGATGTGAAAGTGTGTGGCCTAACCCCAGTGAATCAAGCTACCTACTGAATCTAACATTTTAAAGTATCCTAGGAGTTAGCACCTATTTATTTACCCATTGTATCAGGAAGATGTGTGTGTGTGTGTGTGTGTGTGTGTGTGTGTATGTGTGTGAGATGTCTATAAAAACATGCATGAGATTAACAGATAGAAATAATGTACTAAAATATTTCAATAATTTGTCTTGAGACATGTTTTTTAGAGTGATGCGGCATAGCAATGACTAGAACAAAGTCCCTGCTTCATTTGAGTGAGCTCATACATGACAGATAAACATACAAGGAATTATGTAATATCAGACTGAAGCAATATTAAGGGAAAGGGAGTCACTGGAGTTGCTTTTTAAAAACACGGATACAAGGATGGATACTTGAGCAGAGACAGGAATGCAATAATGGAATGAGTCATGTAGGTGTTTTGGGGAGGAGCATCCCAGGTAATAAAAGACCACAGGTGCAAGTTTGCTTTGCATGACTCTAATCTCTCTCCATCACTATGGCCTTTTACAACTCATTTAAATGTTTTCAGTCTTTGCTTCCTCACCTTTAACAAGAAAATAACATATTTGACCTTCCCCCCCACTGGGTTGGGGCTGAATATAGCAGTTTTTGAAGGTTGACAGACCAGGCTAAAATGTTATGAATGCATGGAAGGCAGCTAATGTCACACACACAGATGCTCAGAGTAAGAGATGAAGTCTTTCATACTCCCTTAGAGCTAGATAACAGATAATAGTACTAATTATAATGATTTTAAAATTTTCTCAAATTAATGGAAGGCATTGTGGAGTGGTTTTCCTTTGATCTTAAGTTCTTAATTAATATCTAGCTGTTGCAGATATTTTCACTGTGTGTGTTATGAAGCTGGTTTTCTTTGTAGTTCTGTGGCAGGGCTGGGATCTGATCACCAGGCTAATGCCCCAGAAAGAGTTATGCTGCTGAAATTCTTCATACTTCTTAAGGTCCACTGACACATCACCCTGTCCACCCTGCCATGTGTTGAGTGAACCTGACCAAAGACTTGGGTGTTGGTTTGGAGGAAACCTCTTGGTTTCTTTTTTGAGATCTATCTCTCTCCATTCTAGCCCTTGCCTTGACGTGGCCCTCAAACGTTGAAGCAGAATTGTCATCTGAGGAGATCATTAAAATTACCGATCCCTGAGACTCACCTGAGCTTTTGGTTCCCTAGCTTCATGAGGGCACTGAAGTGATTTGTATTTTATTAAGCCTTAAGCTGAGAAGCACTGCCTGAAACATTTTTCAAATCCAGGGATGGAATTTTCCTAGAGTATTTCTATTTTGACCTTGAAAATCAGGCTTTTTAAATGTCCTTTTATTGGGGGGCTTTACACTAGATAAGTTCTTTTATTATTTATTTTATTATTGATGGCTATCTCCAATGAAATCAGCTGGAGAGTTAAAAATTCTCTCCTTTTTTTCTAGTGTATGGATAGTCAACATAAGGAGGTGGTTCATTTGGCTCACAGCAATGCTCATGTAGAACCCATTCTTTTTTCTGTGGTGCAGGTGCTGGTTAGTACTATGTCTGATGCTTTCCCATCTCTTAAATTATGACAAAGTCATAGATTTTTATTTCTCCTTTGTAGATGTGGAAAATGAAAAGACCATGTGTTCACCTATCCCAAAGCTTTGTTGGTGTTTGGATTTGCAGTTCAGAGCTATTGACTTATTGTCCTAGGGATCCATACTCTCTTGTAAAAAATAAGCTGGCTCTTTGGCAACACAATTTTCTGTTTTCTCTCTCGAAAATACTCCAGGGCATAATTCTTTAGGTGAAGTTGTGGGCATTAAAAATATGCTTTCCCTTCTTAACGATTTCTTCCCATCTGCTCCTAACATGTCAGAAGAGGACCTTGTAGCCGCTTCTTTTTCCAAGAACTCAGGCTTCACACTTGGTTGGGATTTGGATAGAGAAGACTGTGTGGGAGGAGGTGTACACATGCGGTATGATTACCTTGAGGGAATCACCTTCTCTGTTCTGATTTTATTATATTTACCAGAAGAGTAATAGTTCCAGAACTCCACAAGACATTAAGACGTATTCTCGGTCTCTTGCATGAGTTGAATATTGCTGTCTGTGATTTTTACGTCTTTGCTTTGTAAAGCACATAACTTTAGAGTGACCATAAATGGACAGAAAAGTCATGAGTTCCAAGAGGGGAACCGAAGGCTGGAATGGCAAGGGTCTGCTTTCCCTCTGGGCTCCTTCCCTCAGTCCCGCTCTCTGCCCCTCACTCAAAGGTTCCAGGCTATTCACTTGTCATAAATCAGTCTGCTTCTCACCTATGCATGTGTGAGCTTTGTTCAGCACGGATGCACCAAGCACAGGAGAAAGGCAACAATAATATCCAAAAAAAAAAAAAAAAACAAGAAAGGCCAAGTGGGAGGATAGATCTGAGCACTTGGAAAGAGGAATGTTCCTATAAAACAGGGGCACTTGGCAGTAGAGCCAGTGAAAAATGATACCAATTACATAAAGCAAAATGCCACCCATCAAGCAGAGCATTTTAATTCTCCCTATTCCAGGCTATTTATGACTTTTTGTCCAAGACTCAATACATGTTTGTAAAAAAAAAAGATGAAGTCAACTCCATCTGTTAGGTACAAGGGAGCCTTTGCTGGAAAAAAAAAGAATAAATTCTAGGGGCTGAGTACTGAGGCACTTCAAATATAACTTTACTTATTTCACATCTTTCTCCTATTTGGCTAGTTGTATGAGGAAGAGAGGGGTGACTAGTTTTATTGAGAGATTTAAAAATATTTAAAGTAATGTTGCTTTTCTTGAGAAGTTTCTATTTTGATTTGTCACATAGAGTATCCTGCTTAAAACAAGCTAACATCCTCTCTGTTTTCTAGGTCAACATTTCCCTTCAGTTCTGCCGGAGGTGGTCTAGGCGTCACAGCTGGTTTCCTGAAAGAGTTCCACAAGATGGCGACAATGTCACAGTGGAGAACGGCCAAATGCTACTGCTTGACACAAATACGAGTATCCTCAACTTACTACACATTAAAGGTCTGTGGAGTTTGAAGATTGGTGACATCATTTTATGTAATTTTATCACTTGTAGGGAGCAGGGAGGAAGAGGAATGTTTTGGTTGACAATTATTCTCAGACCAAATTGAAATTTGACTATGAAAAGGAAGACGTGGTCAGAGGGTTCAAAGTAAAAGGCCATTCTCTTGGCTCTTATAAGCACAGAGCTTAATTATTTTAATTGTTTGAAAACAAGACAGTGCACAGTGTTCTCAAAGAATGCTCTGCTTTACTCAGCCCTTTGTGGTCATGCTTATCCAGGGCAGCCCCCACAATACAGCAAAATGCCCTGAAATTGGTTAATGCTGTCGCCTTTGAAATTCCCTGCCAAGAAAGCAATGTCTTCCTGCTTTTATCCTGTTGTGGTTTTGACTTCTTGGTCTCATGGAAAGTCATATAAATAGGCTTCCTTATTGCAAAACTCGCCACATAGCTCTAGGGTTGAGGAAGTTGGAGGAGACTGAGAATTCAGATTTCAACTCTTCTACCACCAGGCCAAATGGCTAACTCATTTCACCTCTTTGAGTGCTTGTTTCCTTATCTGTTTAATGACAATAAAAAACATTGCCTACCTCAGGGGCTGATAATGAGGAATGGTTATCAAAGTCCTTTTTTTTCCATTGGCAAATAAAAATTGCTTGGGAGATGTCATTAGTTATAGATGTCTATACAACTCTACACCAAAACGCCATTCTTTACTATAAATGCATCAAACACTCATACAAACATTTACTTTAGTTAAAACACGAGCATGATTGAAACATAAAGTATTTTAAGGAGATAGAATAATGTAGTTTTGATACCTGTCTGTTACAGACTGAATCAGGTATTTCTGATTAGGTATTTTGTCATTCTGTATTCTGAAAGCTTTTATCCCTCCTCTGCTAGCAAGAAGTTTTCTGTCAAATCAGTTAATTAATGCCCTTCAGGGGAAAATGTTCTGTCAGCATGAGCATGGGCTCTTGCTCTGTCTTTGTGGGGTGGTGTGTGTGTGTGTGTGTGTGTGTGTGTGGTGTGTGTGAATAGCTAGTTGCTTTGGGGAGTGTGGATCTATTGACAGCCGTCAACTAGCTAAAGACTAGCAATGACAAAGGAAAATTACAAACCTGAAGCCTCATCTCACAGAAAAGATTTTCATGTCAAGTCTTTAACCAGGGCTATCCCCATCGGACTCAAATTCTGCTGGAGGATGGAGTGCACTGCAGGTGTTTAAGAGTCTTGACTTTATATAGCTACAACCATTTGGGAGAAGTTTCCCAGCTCAAAGCCTTGGATTACTGTCTCAGGATGTACTATTATTTCTGGTAAATGTTCAATCAAGGAATGATAGTGATAGGATATGATACTGAAGATAGCAAAGAAGCAGCAGAGGGGACCAAAGAGTAGGAGAAAAAAAATATGTATATATGGCTTCTCTTAGAGATTTCAAGAACCGAATAACCCAAATATGTTGCCATGACCAGTGGTTTTCCTTGATACTCCTGGCTTAGGCAGTATTTTATTTAGAATCAGTAAGCTATGTTTGGAAGGACAGACTCTTGTGCTGGAGAGGAGGATGGTTAGGAGGAATGTGAGGATAAGTAGTGTGATACCATCTTCTATACAAGTAGCATACAGGAGTTGTTTGCAGGGAGCAAGTCTGCCTAGAGTGCATAGAGGTTTGGGCTATAGCTTCTAGAAATAGTGAGAACAGAGAAAGGGCACAGATTAAATTTTGTTCAGTAGGTAATTTTTGAGTGCTTATTAAGTGGTCTAGGAACTCTCTGTGTAATATAAGGAAATGAAGAATAATATGTAATATTACTAAAGGAAAAATAACTGGGGAGTGAATACAAAAGAACCAAGTTTGTAGTTCTAAAAGAGGTGATACAGGTAGTGAGGTAGAGCATAGGCTGGAGTAATCAGGGTGTCAAGGGTGTGAGATCAGAGTTGGATTGTGGAGAGAATGAAGAACATGTCATTTAGATCTGGCGTATATTTTGATCACATAGATATTAATACGCATGCAAAATCAATCAAGGTCTGAGGAACTTCCCTGTCTCACTTGTTGCGACTGAATGCAGCTAGTGGCTCAGGTTAAAGATGTTGGAGACATTCTAGTTTTTTCTCAGATTCTGTGATCAACCTGTCAGTGAACACTGCTGGCTGGCACTTCAACATGTGTTCCATATGTCCACACTTCCATTGCCTTGCATCAGTCTAGTCCTAACATTGACAACTTTTGGCCTGGAATGTTAAGCATTGCCTTTGAATTGGTTCCAGTGTTTCTACTTTTTTGTATTTCTTATTAACAAACCCCTAATTTCATTGTGGCATCAATGTACCCAGCTAAAATGCTATGTTTTTTTGTCATCCTTTGTAGTTAGACATTGTCTTGTGGCTAAGAGCTGGACAGTGAGATATGAGAGGGAAGTTGTGTGGGCTATCTGGGAAATTTCCTAAATTAGAGCTGACTCAGAATGAGGCATACTTGTTCTTCTTTCTTCCTGTTTCTTACGTACTGTCATTTAAATGTGACAGCTATGTTTTCAGCCACCATTTTAGATCTTCAGGTTATTGGATAAGATTGGAGAAGGAGGATAGAAGAAATCCAGGACCCTGCTCTCTTTGGATTTGAATTGGTTCCAGTAGCACTGGATTCCACACCACTGAAATGACATTTTGTGATAGAGAAACAGACTTCTTGTGTTGAAGTTGTTGGTATTTGGCTTTTATACTATATGCCAAAGCTTACTTAACACTTTATAGTCCCTGACCATTAAAAATATATTGAGTCTTGTTACTTGTCTCTTTGAAACCCTCTAATGGCTTCTCATCTTGCTAGGAATGAAATCTAAAGTTTTTACTACTACTTAACCTCTGATTCCTTCTTTGAGCCCATATTCCTTGTTCACTATGAATAAGCTCTTCTATGAATATACCTGCTTCCAGACCTTGTCCTTTTCCTGGAATGTTTGTCCTCTAGATTCATGTGGCTGCCTCATTTGTTTCATTTACTTTTTGAGAATGTATCAACTTATCGGAGAGGGATTACTAGTCATCTTTTTCAAAATTATAACCATTCCTTATTATTCTCTATCCTTTTGTTTCTTTTTTCCGTCATCAGCTATTATTACCACTTGCTATTCTATAAATATACTTGTTTGCTTACAATCTCTCTCCTCTACTAGAATAAGTTTCAAAAAGCAAAGGACTTCACAAATTTATCTACTATTTTCTATTCAGATTCTAGACTAGCCCATGACAAATAATGAAGGCTCAAAATTATGTATTAATTGTTATATGAATGGAGAAGAAAATCATGCAGAGTTCATCCACTGAATGAAATTTAATAAGTATGCATTTAAAACCTAGCTCTCTTAAGTATCATTGTTCCCACCTAGTTTACTTTCATTGAACTTAGTTGCTCTGGAAGATACATAGCATGCCCACATATACACATACCATGCATGTATGTACATTGATGTACACATATGTTCACCTGCACAACCATAAAATATATATAAATGTATGCAATGCATAAAATTATGCATTACTAAGAAAATAAAATTCATTGGTAAGTTATTTTTCTCCTTCTAAGAGGCATTTGAAGAATGTCTTTACTGATGAAGAACCTCAACTCCCAAATATATACTTGATATAGTGTTGCTTTAAACCTCTAAATTATTGCAGGCTAATAAAGAGATATTTGAATGTAAGATTGAGTCATTGTCATCATCATCAAAATCACCAGTAACAATTCACTCACATCCGTTACTGCCTTCATTTTTCATATCTGCTCATGGTATCAGAAAAATAGCTGAGTGGAACTTTCTTTACTTTCCTGATTTACATCTACAGATTAAGATAAAGCATGAGAAATTTCAAGGTCCCAAATATTTTTTTCAAAAGATTTTTACCAACAAAATGAAAAGCTTTATGAGAGAATTCTTTCTTGGTCATTTCTATAACATTACAAAAATGCATTCTACAGAAATTACGCATTCTCCAAAAGGATTTGTACTGAATAAGAGTGAAAGTAGATCACCTAAGAAGACTTTGAAGTACTTTATGAAGAAACACATCCTCTGCATTATTTTCCCATTAAGGAAACCAGCATCCTAATATATAGAGAAGTAGGCTCTTATGTCAGGGAAATCAAAACTGACAAATATGAGCCTCAAAAGTTGTGAACACTTGTTCCTCATCTATAGTTCCACCTTAAGATAGAGTTGACTTAAGGAAATTTTTTTTGATGGTGGTACTGAAGATTGAACCCTGAACATCAGGCTTCCTAGGCAAGTGCTCTTGCACTTGAACAATATCCCAGACCTTTTTTTGCTTTAGTTGTTTTTTAGGCAGGAGCTTGTGTTTTTGCCTAGGGCTGGCCTCAGACTGTGATCATCCTACCTATGGCCTCCTGAGTAGTAGCTGAAATCACAGATCAGTGCCACCATTTCTGGCTTATTGATTGAGATGGATCTTGTTAAATTGTTGCCTGAGCTGACCTCACACCACAGTCTTCCTGATCTCTGCCTCTCAAGTAGCTGGGACTACAGGTGTGAGCCAGCATGTCTGGCCTTGACATTTTTCTTATAAACATGACTTATATAGGAGGAAAATAAACACTGTAAATTTCCTTGTGATAGCTGGGAAATGGCAATAGAGACAAACTTTATGCTATTATTTATGATGCTAAATGTCCTGGTTCTCAAACCTTATTGAAAAATGCCAGATTTCTGTGACCATGCTAAGAGATTCAGCTGTATTTAGTACAAATTTACTTTAATTAGAAAATGATCCAGAGCTTTCATCTACTTCCATCTCTGGTTTTTCCCTCTGTCTCTCCCTCCCTCCTTTAAAAAATATTTTAAAGTATACTGTTAAACACAAAGGAGAATTAATTACTTAATTAATACTAATGAGCAGGGATGGAAATAGGCATATTGCCTTAGTTTTGTTAATTATATTTTTTATTCTTTCATGTTAAGATGCCCAAC